TGCGGCATCCCTCCTCTGAAGTCACCGAAATCTCGTCAAAAGCCCATACCATTTCATAAGTACGCCGTAGGAAAATCGAAAAGTGTGAGAAAAAAAGAAAACAAGGACAGAAACGCAAAAGGATCGGATATAGGAAACTCGACCCTATAAGATCCTTATAAGCTTCCTATAAGGGAAGGATAAGAAACATGACGAACAGTTCGGCGACGGGGGGAGGGGGGGGGGGCATTTTGCACTTTTGCCACTTCTCATCGACGTGTCGAGCCATCGAGAGAGCCTCACGAGAGTTGACAGGTTTTATCATGGTGGCTGGACGAGCTTGCTCCAGCTTCACAAGAGTTCACAGGTTTCACCAGAGTGAGACTTGTAACCGGAACTAGTGAAGCTGCGAAAGTGCAAAATGCCCCACCCCTCCCATCGCCGAACAGCGCCCCGACATAGGACATGTCTCCTGTATTATGATACCGTACCTAATGTCTACTGGATCCATGTCCTCTCCATGGGTAAGTATGCAATGTTTTCGCATTCCGGGTTTCCTAAAATACCAGAATTAGACAAATAAGGAGGAAGATCATCAAGTCCAAGCATGAAAACGAACCGATAGTCTTGAAAATCACAAGAACGGCATTTATATGGTCGAAAAGACGAATGCATTGCCATGACGTGCATTTGAAGATTCCATCGGCCACCTCGCGGCGCTTTCACTCGTGTCCCACACATCTGGAACGTGTCAATGGGGATGTGACGTCACTTGGACCGTAAACGCTAGTGATGACCAACCTGACAGGTGTGATAGTCCTTATTTGGATCGCCGTTTGAGTTCCGAGATCGTTTCGCAGTCGGCGGCGACGTATCTCGCGGTGGACTACTTACCAGACAATGCGCCTGCGCTAAGAGGTCAAGATGGGCTGAAACACACTTTCAATGAAGGATAGCTACACTATGTAATTATTTGTAAATATAAAAAGGTAAATTGGGCGCAGTTTGGCAACGGGGGGGGGCGCATTTTGTACTTTTGCTTCTCCCATCGACGTGTCAACCT